GTATTTTGGTCATATCTCATGACTCGTAACTCCGATTGACGAGATTCAAAATCTTCAGGAAACTAGACAAAATTTAGGATAACTTTTATTTTTGTGCCAAATGCTAATTCCAAGTTCTCATGACGTGAACACTATCGTATCACAACGTGAGATTAATTCTTCTAGAAGATAACTGCGCGGAATGCAGTTTCCTTGCCAGACACGATTTGCACTGATTTCACGACGTGAGACCCTAATTCTCACGATGTGAGATACAATTTTAGGAAACTATAAATACCCCTTTTCACATTCGAGTTTAGAGGTTGGATCTGATTTCCTGGAGTTATAGTCGATTTCAAAAGTAAGATGAGTAGCTAATTTAGTAGAATTTCGTTTAGTTAAATGAAACCTAATACTATGAATTAGTTTCTTATTTTATGGATTATATGAATTAGGTTTATGCATTTGTTTGATTATCATTACCTATCATGTTAAAGTTTGCATCTTTGTTGCTTTAATTCAAGTTAAGTGTAGTTTATTAACCATTTGAATTACATGAACTTGTTTACCTAGTAGTTTATGATCATTAAATTTCTAGAGCTAGGATTAATCACATCTTAGATTAAGTGCTAAAGGTAACAACTTTAGCTGTGTTGGAGAACACAATTTGATCATATGTGTTTAATTAGTTATCTTGATCATAAATAATTATCTTGGATATATCTTACATAGCCCAATCATCATTAATAATCAATTCTGTGTTTGCTTGTGTATGATCATTACATAGTTGTTGATGAATTGGTGAAAATATTAGTAGATCGGATCAAGACTACTAATTATATATAAATTGGTAACCAACTTTATTAATCCATAAATAAGAACTAACCATAGGAAAAAGGTGGTTTCAAAACTAAACGAAAGTGTTTTTAATATCATGATAACAATCATTTTTAGTTAATTGTTTGTTAGTTTTAAGTTAATCTGAACTTGCAAAATCAGATAAAAACCCTTTTTAATTATTGTTTGATTTAGATTAATTTTTAGTAATTATTTTAGTATACTGAATCCGTTCCCTGTGTTCGATACCCGACTATTTGTGTTATTCTATTTTCGATTAGGTACATTGTCTTAGACGTAACAGTTATTTAAATTAGTTGGTTTAAACTATTATATAAATTATGTATCAATGGGTGTTGGGTATGGGTGGTGGTGGGTGTAGGCGGTGAGTGGTGGTGGGTGGTGGGTGGTGATGGTGGTGGATTTGTGTGGTTGGTGTTGGTGGGTGTGGGTGTGGGTGGTAGTGGTTTTGGTTTAATAATAACCACAATTATTTTGTTCTCTTTTAGTTTAATTAATATTTTATATTTTTTGGATTTTTATTTAAAAAAATTAATAATTGGGTAAATATGTAGCTCACAAGGTTTCTCGCGTTCTCGATTATATAGTTGTTCTCATTTGAACCTTCTATATATATATATATATATATATATA